ATCTGGAGGGGGGGGGAGGTCTCCCATCCACAGCCTAGCCACAGCCCGACCCTGCTTAGCGCCCCGGCTGGGTCCCCCGACCAGTCCCAGCCCCGGGCGGGGGAGAGCACAAGACCTGGAGCTCTTCCTTGGGCCCCCAGGAGTAGTGTGTGTGCAGCTGGGCGGGGCCAATGGCAAAAAGGGACAGTGAATAGACCAAGGGGCGGGGTCAGGTGCACAGGAGGCGGGACTACTAGAGAAATGGGAGGGGCTGGGAAAGGTGCTAATAGTAAAGGAGGAAGGGGTGGGGCAAAAAGGGTTGCAAAGAGCTAATAGGAAAAGGGGGCAGGGCCAGGGCCAAGGAGGAGGAGCTAGCAGTAGAAGGGTGGGGCCATGGCCAGAAAGGGGCGGGGCTCCCCGGAAGAGGGCGTGGCCAAGCAAGGGGCTCGCTCTGGTGGGCCCAGGGGCCGGCGTTCAGCCCCTTGTTCCCCTCCTCCGCCTCTATCCTCTTGTCAAAGCGGATGAAGCCCACCCCTCGGGAGACGCCTGCGAGGGAGCACAGCCAGGTCAGGGGTGGCCTCGGCGTGGCACAAAGAGGCACTGTGGGGTCAGTAGGGGGCGCTGTTCCCCTCCTCCGCCTCTATCCTCTTGTCAAAGCGGATGAAGCCCACCCCTCGGGAGACGCCTGCGAGGGAGCACAGCCAGGTCAGGGGTGGCCTCGGCGTGGCACAAAGAGGCACTGTGGGGTCAGTAGGGGGCGCTGTGGGGCAGGAGGCAGAGCAGGGGCCCAGTGGGGTCCCTTTGCTGCAGGGGCGTGGGAGTCAGTAGGGGGCGCGGTGGGGCAGGAGGCAGAACAGGGGAGTAGGGGGCGCTGTGGGGCAGGAGGCCGGGCAGGGGCCCAGTGGGGTCCCTTTGCTGCAGGGACGTGGGGGTCAGTAGGGGGCGCTGTGGGGCAGGGAGTCATGCAGCAGGGCAGGAGGCTCTGAGCACTCCTTAGTGTCCCAGATTTGTCCCAGCATCCTAGGCCTGGGGATCATCCCCCCACCCCAAATCAGAGCCAGGGCCCCATCCCACACTGCCTCTGGTCGACGAGGATGCGGGAGGTGATGATGCGCCCGTACTGGGAGAAGAGCTGCTCCATCTCCTTCTGGCTCATGCTCTTGGGCAGGCCGCTCACGTACAGGTTGGCGTCGCGGATGGAGGCCGAGCTGGGCCGGGCGTAGGAGACCTGGGGGGCCGGGGAGGGGGAGGGGTCAGAGAGAGGACGAGGATGCGGGAGGTGATGATGCGCCCGTACTGGGAGAAGAGCTGCTCCATCTCCTTCTGGCTCATGCTCTTGGGCAGGCCGCTCACGTACAGGTTGGCGTCGCGGATGGAGGCCGAGCTGGGCCGGGCGTAGGAGACCTGGGGGGCCGGGGAGGGGGAGGGGTCAGAGAGAGGCTCCGGGACCAACCAATCCCCTGCCACTTCATCACGCTTCATCCTGCCCCTCCCATGAGTCCTGGTTCCCAGCCCCCCGCTCTAGCCACTAGGCCCTGCCCAC